AGGAGGATCTCAGTTCATGCTATCCTGGGCAAAGAGTGAGACCTTATGTCCAAAATAATCAGAGCAAATAGGGCTGGAGGCATGGTTCAAGCAGTAGAGTATCTACCTAGCAAGTGCAAAGCAGAGAGACAGAGAGAGAGAGAGAGAGAGAGAGAGAGAGAGAAACTGCTGCCTGGTTAGGACCAGAATGCTTGTTCAAACAAACAACAACCAAGACTGAAAAACTAGAGTGAGATATCTTGAATTATAAATTTGGGTCTAATATTCTTTATGCTAAACTTCTTCATCTGAATGGGGTAGATAGTAGTAACAATCTTAAGAGGATGCAATTAAATGAGATAATATATATGAAGCCTTTTACCACAGTGTATCAGTCACTCCTAAAATTGACCATTTCTAATAGCATCAGTTATCTCTTACCTTTCCTTCTCTAACTTGTCTCTTCCCACTGTTCTCACTAAGGACCTGAGCAACCTGAAAAGTTATAGGTGACCTCATATTCTCATTTTGCAGCCCACATCTATCTACAAATGACAACCCTGCCAATTAACTCTCTTCCTCCTTCAAAACCCATAGTAGCGGGTCTGCTGCCAACTGACAACAGAGCCAAATCCTCATCCTATCTTTCAGGGACTAAGTATCTTGACCTGGATCCATGAACATTTCAAACTATGATTCCCTTTGTTCTAGTGTGCATACTCCGTTCTCATTGTCTGGGTTCCTAGGCATACTGAGGTCATCCACAAGGTCAAATTATGACATACCCCTTCTTTCTGGATTTCCACTCTGATGAATTCAGATAGATTTCTTCTGAAAGCCAAAGACATGAATTATATTCTGTCTTGCTTCATTGGTCTTTACTTGTTTCACTCATAAATGTGGAAATTCTCCTTCTCTGAATAGATTATAACACTTTGATCAGTTTTTCATAAGTCTATTTAGGTCTGGAGTGTATCCAGTAATACAGAGCTTGCCTAGAATGCTCAAGTCTATTTAACAGCCCTTCCACCATACACTGCAGTAAACTCAAAAATGTAAAGAATTCTGAATAATCTCAACTTTCATTAAAACAAATTATGGAAGATTTTTCTTATAGTGCAGATTCATAGGCCTAATGATTTTCCCTAAAGAGACATCTTAAATATGGTAGAAATTTGATCAGGAAGTGAACAATACTTTATGTACTGTAAAATGGCATTTCTTTTATAAAACAATCTGTCACACATATATACCACATGTGGCATATTAAAGGGAAATGTCACTAAATACATCAATGATTCCTTAAATTAAAAAAAAAATCCACTATATTGTGAACTCTCTTCTTGAATTGAAGCATACCTGTTTGTATTTGTGGACTAATGTCAGTATTAGTCACACTCTACCTTTTGAGCTATTAGTGGTATTTGAACAACATCCTAAGGTTTTCTGCATCTGGAAACTTGCATATCATGTCAAATAACTGGTAGGCAAGGCTCATGAAAAATAAAACAATAATAATAAATAGGTCAAGTAGATTCATTGCTGAGTCAACTGACTGATTCCAACAAAACGGCAATTTGACACCTTATATAACTAGCGTAGAACGGCAAGAACTGTAGAACATCTAAGGTGGAATATTATTTCCCACATAATATGAATGTTTCACATCTACACTTCATTGTGCCCTACTCAATTTCACATTTCATGTTGTGTTTTCTGATGTTTCTAAGTAAAAGAATAAGAGAAAAAAGCTTTTGTTTGCACCATACATAAATTGTCTCTCTCTCAACAAGGCCTTGCTACATAGCTAGGCTGCCTTTCTACTCAGATGCTCCTGTCTCAGCCGCTCCAGTGCTGAGATTATGCTGTGAGCCATGACACCTGCTTCCTCTCTTATATCCTTCCTTAGCTGGGAAATTTTATTATTACAGTCTCTTGGTTCTATTAAGTTTTGTAGCAATAACAATTGGGTATTACAATAGTTGTGATAGTCTTCCAAGATAATATTTGAAGTCCTTTCAAGAAAGGAGTTTAGATAACCTTTTGGTTGAGTTTGTCCAGTTCAACCAAAACTAATGAGAAATCTACATTTTATCCATAGTTAGGAAAAAAGCATAAAAATGATTTCTCATGTTGACACTGAAGGATTGAAAATTGAACTTGCTAGTTTCTAGTGTTTTCATTCTTACATTCCCTAACCTATTAGGAGAGCAGTTTTGTCAGTTTCTTCCTTTGAAATAATTCCACTTTGTACCATAGTTCTTTCTGAGGATATTTGAGGATTTAATTTTAGTGGTGCATAAAACAAAAAAAAATGGTTCCTTTTTAAAGGAACCATTTCCTTTAAAAAGCACCTACTTTGAAACTGTGAATTTCTCTTTTTTGTTATGATCACATGTTTAAGTTATTTTAAACTAAATGCTTTTGTGAGAAATGAACAAATAAACTGATAAAATGCTGCAAATCAATAAATAATATCTGAGTGAAGATATTAATTGAAGTTTAATAAGACTAGTTTTTAAATACAGTCTTCTTCATGTAGACTTTACTCTTCACTACTGGTGATTGAACCCAGGGCCTTGAACATGCTAGGCAAGTGCTCCACCACTGAGTTATATCTCTAGCCCTCTAGTCTTCTTCCAGAGAGTGAGTTTGTCTCTCCTAAGCTATAATTATCAGGATTGATGTATATTCTTCCTGATGACACCATACTCATAATAGTCAAACCAAACTCTCCAAATAATAAACATTATATAGTTATTGTCCTACTTAGAAAACAAAAATCTGATTAACTGTAAGGAAAGTATTTTATTTATGTGATTTAACTGCATTTTTTCCCTAGGACATAAACTGTGTGATACAGAAAACTGGAGGCGGGGGGGATACTAAAATGATAGTTGTGAAAAAACTGAGATATTCTGTCTTTAAAATTATGGTAGGTTTAGTAAAGTGTTTATTTTTTAAAGCTCTTTTTTCCCTCCTGTTTGGCTACCTACAGACCCCATTCCTCAACTATAGCAGTAAATGTCTAAAATTGGTACTGGTTTTGATAAGCATGGTTATGACATCAGCCTGAGTTCCAGTTCCTGGAATGCAGAACTTGACCATACAGTGACTTGTGGGCAGTTAGAGCCAACATAACTCTCCTTGTCACTACATGTTACTGACTTGTAGCCAAGTTTGTGTTCAAGTGCCCCACACCAGTTACTCTTCAATATCTGCTTTCTCAAATTCAGGAAGAGTGGGAGAAAGGAACTACATGCCTATTTTTATAAGACAGAGATTTAAAACTATATATCCCACACAACAATATCAATGCTCTTAATGTTTACTGAAGTATACACATAGAAATGGTTCAAATACTAAATTTTATGTTATGTATATTTTATCACAATTTTAAAAAAAGGCTGTGTGGTGGGTTCTGAAAACCATGTCTTTGTGTTTCAGGGGTTTTCCACGACTTTATAATAAATTTCCAGGTTCAATATATAATTGGTCTAATTCTGTGACTGTAATGAGGTTGCTCTCTCTGCAACATCTATTAAGGTAGGCTGCCTGTGTCCCAAATAAGTATCCATTGTTCAGGAATTAGTAAACAGCACTTACGCACAAAAGTTTCTACCTAAAAGTGCCATAGAGAGAAACCTCAAATGTGTCAAATACACAAGCGTCACCTGCTCCTGGGTAGTTCTGTAGTTTGCTGTTGTGAGGATCTGGGGAGTGGAGAACTCCAATATCCAGAAGACCCTGCCCTGCGTTATTGCAATATGAACTAGCAAACGCTGGCTAGATGGAGTTGTTGGGCTGCCGAGTTCCCAGAGTGCCTGTGGGCTCAAGCACTTCCAGAGGGTCAAGTACTCTCCAAGAGGCTGAGACTGACCGGGTGGCTGAAGCAAACATGCAGCTTTCACTCTCCTGCCTCCAGGCTGGAGCGAATCCAGAAGTGAGGTTAGCACCTGCTGCGCAGTGAGGGACTGCAGTGCCTCAGAAGCGGCAAGAGGGCGACCCCTGTTTGGGGTAGCAAATACCGTACTTTCGCAGGCCGAGAATTATGTTAATGTTCCAAGAGTGTCCGAAATAAAGAGAAAACACCACTATCAGTTTTCCGTTGCCATCACCATTCGGCTCCTAACGCACCCAGAACAAACTTCTGTCTCTGCACGTGCATTGAAATGATACCTGGATACCTTCTACCCTCCCCTATTAGACGGCTAGCATCAAAACGTGTGCAAAACCAGTGATGCCTGGCACTTTGGTGGCGTTAAGTATGTAAGCAAGGAGCTCAACTCCGAGGCTGCAACTAGTCTAGCATCAGGAGGGGAGGCTTCCCCAATGCTCTGAGGTTGCAAACACAACCCACAAAGTGTTGCTACTTCCAGATGTCTCCAATTTCCGGCTTCCCCCAACCTTCCCATACCCCGAAACTACCTACCAAAAGTGGCGACCAGCAGACCGATAGCACACACATGATTCCCATGAGCTGGATGGCCGTCTCGGTTGTGATCCTGCCCCACTGGGCACTGGACTGCGATACTGCGGCTTTGGCCCGGCAGCGAGACACCAGCGCCTTAATGGTGGCCAGGTTGCAGGCAAAGGTGACTGCCAGCGCCAAGAGCCCCAGGAAGGCGAAGGTGGAGGCGAAAACAAGGTTGCCCCAGTTGTGCGAAGAACTAGTCTCATTGCCCCCTTGCCCGGTGCTAATGAAGCACCAAGTCCCGGGCCACTGGATGGTGTACTGGCCTACGCCCAGCACTGGCAACAGGGCGAAAGTGAGCACTGCCAGCCACACGCCGAGCAGCACGGCGCGAGTGGCGCGCGTCTTCATGTGGCTCGCGTACCAGTGTGGCGCCCGAATGGCCAGTGCCCGCTCGACGGCCATGGCGCTGGCGATGAAGAGTGAAGAGAGTCCAAAAACAGTCATGGTCAGACCGAAGAAGGTGCACAGCCGCCCCGACGGATCGAGTTGTTCCCAGCGCTGTTTGGAAAGGTACACGACAATGACCACCGGGCTGGTGAGCAACTGCCCGACGAGGTCGGTGAGCGCTAGCCAGCCGATGCACAGCAGAAAGGACTTCTTGCGCTTGCTTTCCCGGCGTCTGTAGCTTCGAGACACCAGAAGCATGGCCAGAGCATTGCCCACGAAGCCGGTGATCATCATAGTAATCGGGAAGGCCACGGACACCGATCCGCAGTCCTCGCTGGTCCCTGGGGGGCGGGTGAGGTTTCCCTGCACCTCAGCGGAGCGCTCGGGGCCCCACATGCCCGAGTAGGAGTGGTTGAAGCGGGTGCACAAGGGGACACCTCCGCCGTCGCCCCGTGTGTCCTTCATGTTGGCTTCGAGGTGAGGAGGGGACCGCGCAGGGAGAGCAGCAGCGAGAGCTGGCAGACAGGCGCGGGTGGCGGCAGAGGTCGGCGGCGACCCGGACTGGGACCGGGTGGCCCTCCATGGTGTGGGCGCCGCTGCCGCCTGGCTCCGCTACTCTGGCCGGGGCCGCCGCGCCGCCAAGGCTTTTCAGTGAGCGCACGGGAGGCGCGCGGTCCGCTCCGGAAAGCCTCAGGCTCCCAGGCGCGCCCGAGTGCCCCGCGGGTCTATAAGGCCGAGGGGGCGGGGCGCCCGTGGGTGTGGACAGAAGAAAGGTGGGAGAAGGGCGGGGAAGCAGTCGAGCGTCTCTCTCTGCAGTTGCCCTTCTGGCTCCGCTGGGAAAACCTCCTGGCAGCTCATAGGGAAACGCCCCTGCTCCTGGCGACACGCGACGCCCACTTGCCTTCCTGCGGGCCCAGTGCCTGCTCGGGTTCTGAGACCCAGGAGTGTGAGTGGGCGGCGAACCGGTAAAATGTCTGCGCTGTACGACCCCAGTCAAGCTTCAAGGCATACCTGGGCGCCTGCCTTACTCTTTTTGTATCCACAGACACTGCAACAAGGCCCAGATCCTTTTGCTGAAGCCCTTTTGTACCTCTTGAAAGTGTAAATCACCTGTCCTTAAGCCATTTAAGCAAGTCACAGTCCTTTGCGTTTTTCTTATTTCGGGACTGTAGAATGTTGATGAAAAAGTCAAACTGTCCTGAAGGGATTGGGGGAGGGGAGCGTCACTGAAATTGTACAAGAAATAGACGGTACTATTGAGATTGAAGGAACTAGATGTAAGCAAACAAAAAATCACACCGTTAATTCAAAGAAATTCCTTAGCTGGAGCGATGGCTCATGACTGTAATCTTAACTACTTGGGAGACTGACATCTGGAGGATAATGGTTCCAGGCAAATAGTTCGGAAGACCGGATCTCCGAAATCATCAGAGGAAAATGGAAGGGAAGTATGGATAAAGAGCGCGCCTGCCTAGCAAGCGGAAGACCCTGGGTTCAAACCCCAGTTCCACCAAAAAAAGAAAAAGAACCAAAGAAGAAAGCCTAGCTACCCCCTTCATCTAATCCTGCCTCCACCTCCCGGTAAAAGAAAGTCGGCTAGGGCAAAAGGGTCTAGAGGCGGGTGACAGCCACTTACAAATCTGAAGTCATGAAATCAACTGCTGCCAGCCTACAAGAATGAGGGGCAGGCGAGAGGCATTTCCTCAAAAGGACTCTCTTCTCCACCCCTGCTCATTATCATACAGTTAGAACTGGAAACTGCATTTAAGATGGCATGAAGGCCTTACTCCATAAGGCTATGAAAACAATAGTTGGGAAGGAATACAGATGTGGCTTACTCTTAAAATCGCCTACAAACTTTTGTCTTACTACTTTGAATTAATCTCAAACTCGTATTTGGGAGAAGTACTTTTCTTAGAATAATTTCAGTTTAAAAGTAAAGTAATATTTGATGTTATTCTTAGATATAAGAATATGTAAGGGCTGCAGGTGTGGCTCAAGCAGTAGAGTGCCTGCCTGGTCCAATACCATCAAAAAAAAAAAAAGAAAGAAAAAAAAACCCAAGACTATTTAAGCATTTGGATGAATGTACATACCCAATTTAATTTTTCAGCAATTAACAAAATGTTTCTGTAATATTTAAAAATTTAAGAACATTTCACAATTCATACAGAAAAGTAAATGATTTCTCTCGTTATACTGAAATTTACTTTCATTTCTATTTGATTTCCTTAAAACTATTATTTCTCCTGCTGTACTGCATGCTGTAACCAATTGGGCCTTTCTCAAGAATGACAAGCATCAGGACAGGAATTAGCAAAGAATTAAGCTAGTCTCTAACTCACCTTAACAGTGCATTAACTGCTGCATTTCAGATCTTTTATGTAACACTTCCCTTCTTTCAACATTTTGTTTCATCCTAATTTAAGATAACTGCTCTGCGGCTATTCGCCCCGTAAAGAAGGGACTTTGAAGATCTGGGGAATCACACAACACAAAATAGAAACTGGATTCTAGTAGGCATTTTTTTTGCTCAGTTACTACAAAGTCTGCAATATGTTGTTCTGAAACAACACTCCCCTCTAGTGGCTTAAAGACTAATAACATGCGGTATGCTATATTAAAGAGAAATTCTAAATGACCACTACCTACCTACTTTGCTTAGGGAATCTCTGATTTCTTTCCTAGAGATCTACTCCTCAACACATAACCGTAATCACTTTTAGCCTTTGTTCTCATAAACTTTTGAATCTCCGATAAACTAGTAAAGTAATGGAGGATTAAATTCAAAAACCATATATTTAGCTTTGAAAAATTTAAAGCATATATTCACCTATTATATTTTAAATTCTGCTCAAGAAATATTTTAACACACAAATTTAATTGTATCCCTCCTGTATCTTACAGTTTTAAATCTACCACATATATCGAGATTTAGCTAAGGTTGATGAATTTATTTTGCCATTTACTACTATTGAATTTTTACTAAGAATTCTTAAATGTAGATACAAAACAAGATTGATAACTTCATGTAAATAGGACCTCTGTTGTCTCATTATGATGAAAAATGTAATTCCTTCTCCATGGAGCCACCTGTTAAATATATTTTTCATTCATTCATTCATTCAATAGACTCATTTCTCAATGAGTCTGTGTCAAACACTGTTAAAGTCCTTAGGGGTACAAAAGCAACACATAAAAGTGTCTACATGTATGGAGTTTATATTTTAATATTAATCTCTTGATTTAAAAATTCCAAATAGCCAGACACTGGAGGCTCATGCCTGTAATTTAGCTACTCAGGAGGCAGAGATTTGGAAGAACATGTTTTGAGGCCAGCCTATCTCAAAAATACCCAACACAAAAAAACAGCTAACAGAGTGGCTCAAGTGGTAGGGTACTTACCTGGCAAAGTGAGGCCCTAAATTAAAACCCCAGTGCCACCAATAAAATAAAATCCCAAATAAAGCAGAAATAACACTAATCCTAGATGCTTTTGTATTCTTTGAATGATTTGCCTTGGAGGTAGAATTTTATATGAAACTTTTTGTATGGAAAACTATAAAAAGTTATAGTTTTCACAATCAAGAGGGATTTATCTCAGGAATGCAAGGTAAATTTAACGTTTAAACGTCGACATAGTCACAGTATCAACAAAATACAGGGCATACTTTGAAGTCTTTGCTAAATCAAACACCTGGCTGTATTCAAGAATCACATACAATGACTAACTTTTCTACTGTCTTTTCTTCCTGTTTCATTACATGCCTAGTAATTTATTGAAAACTGGACATTATATGGTTAGTATATTGTCATGACTCTATCTTTTACTATTTTATTGAAGATTCTTGTCTGTTGGACAGTTTACTTGTGCGTATTTAAACTGCCAATATGGCCTGTCTTGTGGTATGCAGCCATTGATAGCTCCACTCTATTCTCAGTTTTCCATGGCTGCTTTTTTAGGTGGGTTCCCTATAGATTGATCTCTCCTATACCTCTGTAACTTGTTGGTCAGTCAATGATGGGGATTATCTTCTCTGTGGTTCCTTTGATTCTAGTGAAGTTCCTCTAATTTCCAGTTGCTCCTCTAATTTTCAGCTTGAAAAACTTCATCTGTTATGGTGGGTGCCCACAGTAGGAAGGGTACTCTTTTATGAAAAACATCAATGCCAGAGATATATCCTTGAATAATTTTACCTTTTGATATTAGATTCCTGTATAGTCTTTGCTTGCTTTTCCCTCTGGCTCCATGGGTTCTCCTTCCCTCATACACAGTTTAGCTGACACAGATGGATTTGGGTAGTGCCCATTTCTTCTGTGGTTCTCATTGCCAGGATCCTCTGCTTTAATTTGTGATGGCTTTTCAAACCTTGATTCCCTCTGGCATTTTATGCCAGCAAGACTGCGATTTTTTTCCATCACTATTTCCCATAGCCATATTCATGAAGGTTGGGTAGCACCCTCAGTTAAACAGCTTTCTACTGAGTTTAAATAGTCTAGTAGACTAAATAGTTGATGCATTTTAAATTTTAACGTTAGTCACAAGGCAGTGTGATATTGGTATAAAGATAGACATTGCTATGGTTCAAATGTGTCTCTTCCAAAATTTAGGCATTGAAACAGTAAGACAGAATAAGAGGAGTGTTTGTGTGAGGTCTTTAAGAGGTGATAGACCATGAGGACCTTTCCCCTCATGAACGGGATTAGTTGTTCTAATAAAAGGGTAGCTACCAGAACTGTGAAAAATAATTTCACACACACACATCATACCTCCATACATACAAATTCAACTGAATTCTTTGTCAGAGGTGTTAGAGAAAACAATCTTCAACAAATGCAGCTGGAAAAACTAAGTATCTGTATGAAAATAAAATTGAACATAAACCTTATAACACAAAAAATGGATCACAGACTTACATGGACATGTTAAAACTGTAAACTTTCCATATTAAAACAGGATAAAAGTCTTCATGACTGTCTTACTATTCCATCGTTAGTGGAAGTACTTCTGCAACTCCCCTCTCGCCGTTCAACAACTTATGATTATCTCTTTTGGTCAGTACACATTCAGTTTCCTCTCAAATACCAAGAATAGCCTATCCAATTATTTCTGAATGTTTGGGTTATTTGCAGTTTTTACTAAAAGAACAGTGGTTCAATAATACTCTGGTACATAATGGCATGTACCTTTGCAAGACTTATTTTTACATGATAAATCCTACTATATGCTGTAGCCTCCACTTCCCTTTTAACACCATCCTCATATATCCAATTGATAATTTGTTATTCCATTTGCATAGCTCAGACAACCAAATATTAAAATAGAGCTTTAAAATTTCCTTCTCAATCCTGTTTCTCCTTGAGGTCTTCCCAACATGTGTATACCACCATCCACATACTCAAGCCAGAAATCTGACAGCTATCCTTGATTCTTCCTTTTCCGTCATATCTTCCAGTGTATCACCCAATAATATTAATTCCAAAATATATCTTATAAATTCACTTGTCTCCATCTCTTTAGTCACCACCCTGGTTCAAGTTATCACAATCTTTTTCCTAATACACTGAGTTTTCGAATTCCCTCGGTTTTTATAATTTTAAGTTATTTATTAAATAAATAAAAAAGAGCATTAAAAAATTTAAATGTTAATCTCATCTCTTCTCTGTTTCACTTCCATATTAACTAGTA